GCAAGAATGCGCAAAGGCTTTCAACACTCCTCCTTGAACCCATTCCTTCGGAATGGTTCACTCTTTACATAATAGGAGCGTTCTTGCCATCGTTTGTGCCTTATCCGCTCCACGGATAAGCGTCATGCAGTTCTGTAGCCCACATCCTGACAGTCCTTTCTTGGCACTCCTTTAAACGTGTCAAGGCTGCCCGTCGCGGAGGTGGCATCACCTTGGCCTTGTATACAAAGGCTTTCGTCCCTCACAGTAGTTGCAGTACTCCGTAGCAAATACTGCACCAGCATTCCGTAGGCCATGGCATTCTCGATTCGTGTGAACCTTGCTTCGATGATCCTGGGTCTTATAGAACATGCCAACGGGAACGTCATCTGGTACGGGTCGATCGGCATACATCACTCTTGTTTCAACTCTTGGTTCTGGTTCGGGTAGAGGAGGGGTTTGAGTAGCTGAAGTTCTGAACGTCCTCGTTTGTGTAGGGGGGTCACTCACAGTGGTCCTCAAGGATCTCCTCAGGCTGGCGGACTCTGCCTCCAGTTCCCTCCTCAAGGATTCCCGGTCCAGCTCCTCCTGAGCAGCTGAACGAGCAACATCCCGAAGCCTTCTCAGCCTTCTCTCCTTTGATGTCTCCTCGCGAATTCCCAGAACCCAAGAAATCACTCTTTTCACAAGCTCCCACATCCCAACAGCAGCAATGCAGACCAAAACCGTCACCAATGTAAGCTCATCCCATCCAGCCAGCGGTACACTTCTCTGAGGGCTTGACACCTCTGAGGCTTCTGCTGGAGCTGCTTGAAGAGCAACAATCACACAGATCAAGGTGGCCAGCTTCACTCGGTCGCTGATCCTAGCCAGAGGTCCTCCAATGAAGCCCCAAAGCGTCATCAGTTCTGACATTCTCACCTTGCTGTGCAACTTCGTCGGGAGGTCCGCTAACTGCCTCGTTCCACTGATGTGGTTCACGGCCAAAGCTCCCTGCTGCACCAAGTCTGAAATGAAAGCACACCGGACCTTCAAATGACGGGTGCGCCATGATCCCTGACATCCATTGATGATGGAAACAGCAGCACTGTTATCTACCAACAGACTCTGCGGAACATGTTGTCCAACAATCTCCTGGACCAGTGCCTGTACTCCCTTCATCAGAAGAGTTGTCTGGGCAGC